ATCCACTATCTGTTCCTCATTTTTATAACCCACTCACTCTGCTGGTATAAATACCCTAAATGCCTTATTTCTCTGCATTTTAGTATCAGAGATGCCATGTGTTTAGTAAAAACCTAAATGAAGGATGCCTTCTGTCATGCCTAACTGGGCTGGGTGGTGTGTGCTCTGTGGTGCACCATTGTGTTTTGCAGTGGGGAAAAGAACTGGATGCAGAGTGGGAGTTATGGATGCCCAGCGGTGCATGTCTCTCACAGTCATGCAACCCTGACTGCAGATCACACCCTGTAACGTTAACAGGCTGGGAGGGAATTCCCTTCATTTGTGAGTGAATCAGCTGGGTGGGAGAGACAGCATGAACATTTCCCGGATTAGACTCCTGTTCTAGGCATCTCCTGCACAATAACATTCTGGGTTGTTGGGTTTTTTTAGGTCTACTTCATGTTCCAGCCCAGAAAGAGCTGCAATACTTGCCTGGACAACATTGCCATGGGTCAATTTGGTGTTCACCTGGAAAAAGCTTGCCATTTGAGCAGGAACCAAGAGGAATGTCTTCAGTATATAATGTTCCTGCATTGGAATAAAAATGGCTGGCAACCGCCTGTATATTTTTAAGGTTTCCAGAAATAGATCTAAGTCTCAGGCAAAATGAATGGAGCCAAGACTTAGATGGAAAGAACTGGTAAATGGTCATTTGTCTGAAACGGTTAGTGCTGAGATCATCTTCCACGTTATACACTGCTACCTGGAAACACGGCCCAGTTTTCTTTTCCATCTTTATGGCTGTCTGAGCCCTACGTTCCAGTGTATTGATTCCCTTGTCCAAGTTTCAGTACAGTGGGGAGAACTGGCTTAAAGTTAGTGGCAAGACTGAGAGCTCCCTCCCTGCTCTGTAGGAGCTGGAATGCCTGGAACACCAAGTCACTGTTAGAGCCCTGGAGAAGCAGAGGGAAGTCAGATTATAAGCAGCTGCTCTGTGAGTGAGGGAGAGAAGGTTTTCCAATCACAGTGGCAAGTGAAAGAGGTCAGGAAGAGATGAGTGGAAGCAGGGGCTAACTGGAGGGTAAAACACTCATGGAGGTGCATACTTACATTCCCAGGGGAATTTGATGTCAGTCAGTGAAGCCTGAATCCATGGGTGAGCCTACTAAGTTTTGCAGAGGGAGAAGGAGAACTTAGGAGCCAACTTCAGCACTGCAGTTTGGTGCCCAGTGCACCCATGAGCTAGCGTGGCTCCCAGGAATGGCTCAGCTGGCCTGAGGCTGAAGGTGCTATTCTGGCTCATTTGAGGCTGTCTTCCTTGGGGGTTACTGTCTCCACAGTGGTGCCAGGAAGTCTGCATGCCTGCTTGCTCCCTAACTCAGTTCTGCTACCACCATCCAGGTTAAAATCCATCCAGCTAAAAATGTTTGAACAGGTTCAATAGACACACAAGCAAGCCTGGATCATTTTGACAGGTAAGCACATCTACATTAACAAGTAGAATGGTGTAATAGGAGCAGATCTGGAAAACAAAAGAGCTGCTGCTGAATATTTAACATTCACACTAAAAGTGTTTCAGAGGAACTTTGTTTTTGACTTGCTCTATTCTGATCCAGTTAAATGAATCATAGAATCCTATCCTATTCTGTTAAAGAGCAGACAAGCTGTACAGCTCTGGAGGACTGCTGTTGTGAAGTCTGCAGGCTGCAAACATAGCAGCCCAAGAATGTGTTCTGAATGATCATCCAGAAGATAAAGCCTGGGGAATGAAGAACTAGAGGGGGTAGGATGTACATGGGGAGAATGGAACACTCCAGTAAATACTGGTGCTTTGAGATCCCTCAGCTGATGATGACAAATTTGAAGCTAAACAGACTTGCCTTTATTTTTTCCAGCTTCCCTGGGTGACAAGTAGTGACTTGGTTACAGCTACAAAGATCAGTGACATTTTGTCACAGAAAATTATTGTGCACCTAATCAAAGTTCAACAAAGACTATCAGTCCTGGTTATAATCAGGAAGCTTCTTCCCCTGAACCAGGGCTGGTAAACTAGTGGGACTTTGTGCAGTAATTGGTGTTTCTAATGAATTTGGAAGCAGTTGCCAAAATGATACGCTGTCACTTCGTTATCCTCAGTGGGTTAAATTTAGCCCTGATAGATTTCTGTTGACTGCACTGGAGATACATACAGGATATGGGATGGATATTTCGCAAGGTCTCCTTCCTCCCTGACTGCAGAGCTCTTCCTTTGTCGCCCCATGAATGAAACACAAAGAGCCCTGTCAGGCTCCACAGTTTTGCATGAACTTAAACGTTTGTGAGGGAACAGTAAATATCACCACGTGTCACAGGACCTCTGGCCTGCCTCCGCTACCTCCTGTCATGCAGCTAGAGACTCCTGCTGTGGCATCTCATTGTCAGTATTGGTGATCCTTGTGCCTTTGGAAGGGGTTTAATTTAAATAGCCAAAACATATTAACCTGAAAATCCATCTTAGAACTGGCTTCTCCTTGGTTCCTGTTCAGTAACTCTCAGTTTGGTTCTTCTATAGCCCCTTTTCTCAGACTGACTGTACACAATTACTCCTGATAATTACATGTTGAAGCCTTCAGAAAACCCCAAAACTCCTATCCAGTGGTCACCTGTATCAGAAGCATCTGGAGCTTGGTACTCAGCCTCAGAGGTTGGACCAGGCACTCATGTTCTCTGGCAGGCATGGAAAGAAACTTCTGGTGGCCTTCCTTACAATCTCTGAGTTTCCAGTCTCCGAGTCAGAAACGCAGTGGCCCTATATGGCTATCGCACTGGTACCATCATCTTGGATCCATATCAGCCACCTGTGAAGGAGGCAGAGCAGGAGAGAGGGACAGGGAGGGGAGCAAGGGGAACATTCCCAGAGAGCCTGTTTCTTTGGGGCACTGAAATGGTGAAGTTCTATCCTGAAGACTCCAAGTCACTTCCCTTTCTGCAACAAAACCTGTTAGTGTTGCGTGTAAGCTCTGTTGGTCTGAGCTCTATTGAATAAAAAGTTTGCTAGGTTTTATGTCTAGAAAGCTTTGGGTTGTCCTGCTAAGAAAGTAAGGTGGATGAGGAGCAGAGCAACAGGTCTTGTTAGATTTTGGAGCTGTAATTGTTTTTTCTGTCATGGTTGGTTTGTAGTGAGGCTTTGCTGGTCTAGACAGCTCTGGTGGGTGTCCCATGGGCTTTGTGGACAGCCTCAGGGGATAAACTGCATCAGTAATGTAGTGTTTTACCTTTAGCTCCCTGCTCCGAGTATTTTTTAGTTGACTGACCACTGTAAATGCTCAATAGCCTCTGAGAAATACATATGGGTAAGTATGTTTCTGTTTGGATACACATTACACCATTAAACCTGTCAGAATAAACACCACTGGAGCTACTTCTTCGGTTAACTATCTTTCCTAAAACTGAGTTTGATTCCTCCCATCACCCATGGGAGAAATTTCTCTTCTCTAGGTTGGGAGGGATCAGTGGGCCTTACCCCACCTCCTGGCTCTGAGGAGAAGGCATCAATGTCAGCCTCCAAAGCTCACATCATTACTATTCTGCATACATTTCAGAGCATTTCTACATTAGCACCTTTCACCCAAACTGGAAAAATATGTTCCCATTCATTGTTTTGTCCTTGCTAGTTATGTTATCTGTTACTTGGGCTGTAAATATTTGAAGTGAGGTCCCAGAATATCCATTAGATTTCCCCTTGTTCCCCACATTGCTGCAAAGCAGTACAAGGTGTAGAAAGCAAGCAAGAGATGAGCACTTGCTCCTATATGGTACATAGAAAGAACAACTGGAGAAGAGGCAATTAGAGTAGAAAGGTGGTTCTTGTTTTTTTTCACATGGTCACTGCACACACTGCACACCCTTTGTCTGGTCTGAAAGTCTCCCCTTGCACATACCCCAGACACACAGGGATGTGGGCCATACACTGAGCCGTTGCTCCTCATCCTGCCTTCTCCCTTGGTCCCTTCAGGGGCCTCACTGGCAGTGGGGGACCCATATGCCAGGGGGAACTAGGACTTTACAGAGCATCTGCAGACTCAGATCCCTGGGATTTCCAGGCAGTTCCAGCTATTTGTGCTGCAAGGAATGGACAAGCCTGGAGCTGGGGCTATACACTGTACTGAGCTCCATTCCTCAGGGTGGAAAGGGAGTCAGATAAACGGGGTCACAGATGCAATGGCCCTATCAGCTCCTGCCCTGTACCAGCAGCTGTGTGGGAATGGAATTATTCTCAGCCTTTTCAAATCCTACCTCCTTAGATGTTGTACCCTCTCCCTTTCCTTTGCCCTCTCATCCTCCCAGCTTGAGAATCACTGCAAAAGATTACCCTGGTCCTCAAAGCAAGGCAAGGGTGTTTGTAATGAGTGACTGTGTTTGGGAGAAAAGATGCTTTTCACGCCAAAACACAGACACTAAAATGATCCAAGAGCATCATCAAAGGCATCTCACTGTGAAACTGTAGACATTACTGTCTGAGCAGTAGAAAACTGTAAGAGCAGGTGAAAGAAGCTTACCTGCTGCTCAAAGAATAACTCATAACCAGACTGCTTAATTTAAATATAGGACAATCCAGGACTACTGTGTGGTGAAGGTAGTTCTCCTACTATGGTAACAATTTGATTTTCTGCCTCCATTTGCCTGTGTGAATGAAACCGGATTTCTTTCAGCCCTCTGACATAAGTGCACATTCTAGTATGGAACATCTTTTCTTTATTGTTGTTTTTTTGGAGTGTGTTTATTTGTTTGTTTTTTAAATGACATGGTGGCAAGCTGGATGGAATAAAACTTCAATGTTCTGGCAAAGCTACGTGAAGGGCAGTTCAAGTTACCCAGCACTAGTCCCAAAAAAACACATGCTGATGAAATGGTCCCTTGCTTAAGTGCTCATGCTACGTAATTCTGGTATTTCGGACCAAATAATGTACGTTCTTTTTCTGTTGAAAAGAAGGTACTACAAAAGGTTTGATGTAAATGAAACCAAGACAATAAATCCCCAGTGAATTATCAGACCTCCTCCCAGGAGAATGCTTAATGTCATCCTGGTCTAATCTAATTCTGAAGTACTTCAGTATTATTTAGGCTCTGAGCAGTCTGGAAAAAATGCATTTTTGAGGCCCTGGGTAATGTTACTCATCTCTACAGCCTCCTGCAGGGAGGATCTTTAGTCAGCTGACACTTTTACCCCTTGGAATCTCACCCTGCAGTTGGGGAGGAGAGATAACCCCTGCCTGTGGCTCTCAAGGAATCCACTCATGTGGTTGTTCTCACACATGGCCAGGCAGGGAGGGCTCAGCAAGCCTGATACCACCATCCCTCCTCAGCAGCTGGCACAGGAGAGGTCTGCGGGGGAGGCGAGATCCTGGTGCAGCACCTCCACAGCAGGAATTCCTCATGACGCTGGAGCTGGAGCACCACACAGTTCAGATGTTTGGGATGTCTTGTCCTCCCCCTCCACAGGGAAGGGAAAGAGGAAAGGAAGAAGCATGGGATGAAGTAAAGCATAGAGATTTACATGCCTGTCACGGGGCATCGTTGTCTTTCAAAGTGGCATGAACGGTACTTTGGCTGTTCCTACGAGTAATACAGAAGAAGGATGAGAGGAGTGGCTGTGGTGAGAGAGAGTCTGTCGTGCTGTAGAATTCGCTTTGCTTTGTCTTGTCCCCGCAGACTGTTTGGAGACTGCTTGACATACAGTTTTTCACTTTCTGTGCGTGCGGCCAATGCCTGGCACACCGTGACTGGGAATGCCATTGCTTAGGATCTGACTGTTTCACTGATGAGCTTTGTTTGAATCACTGCTCCTATCGTTAGCACTGTGAAGAAAACATTAGGCCCCTGGATGCTAAACTATGGCTCCTCAAATCTGGCAAGGAAAGACATAGACTTTTGTCTTCTGAGGTTTTATCATCGTCATGGAAAAGAATGATTAAATCCTCCAAATAGTTACCTCAGCCACTCAACAGAAGGGAAGTCGGAATAGAAGTCTCAACAGAAGCAGAATTGGGATCTCCCCATTATATATGATACTGTTTGCATGGTAATGAAGAAATCCCCAGAGTGCCACTTGAATTCAGTGATGAAGCTCACGCCCAACATTCCTAAAATTGTGAGCAAGTGCCTGTATTATTCTGGATCTCTTTGATAATATCAATTTTCGCAGGAAACAAGTGGAACCCTTTCATGGAGCAGTCTTGTTTGACCTAGTCTGAGGAAGTCTCCATGTAAAAACAAGTCAGAAAAGGAAGAAAACTTTGTAAACAGGCTCTTAGGGAGCCTGTGACTTTTTGTGTAGAAAAGTTGCACCAATTTACATCAATCCAATTACACTGACTTTAATTTCTATGTAGACACAGCACAGAGATCCTAGTTTAGGTGAAACCTGCATATTCAGGTGGAGCAAACAAAGCTTATGGGCCCCATTTCTATCTCCTGCCACGTGGGCACAGGAATAGTTCTATTACTCTCTGTAGTATTACTTCTAGTTTACTCTGGGGTGAGGCAAGGCCTCGTCTCTCACAAACTTCATTTTCCTTTTTTATAGGGTGAGAACTAATCTGGAGTTTCTCTTTCTCACATAGTGCTGCCTAGTGAGGAAACATCACATTGAAAAGCAAATCAACACATTTTATAAGCCTCTAGTTTTAGAATTATTTATGTTGTACTACATATGCATTTACAACAATATTATTCCTGGGGGAATAAAGAAGAAAAAACTTCCTTTCTGCAGACCCCGAGTATTTGATTATGGGTATTTACCAGGCACTTCAGAACAAACTGCAGCTTTTAAAGACGTACAAAGTGTTATTACGAATCTGATGTCAATTCCCAACATACTTCAGTTTAATACTAATGCCAGCAGAATGGTATAATCAAATGAAAGAAAATGGCTTGCTCGGCAGGAGTCTGTGCTGAGCTGCTCAGTAGAGCTTGGCATGCTCTCTGCCTATTTTATATCTGAATTTATGTGTTCTCGTATTAACATACTTTTCATTTATCCAACATGCTGGGCGAAAAAAGGAGTCTGCTTGGGCTTTCCACCAACCAAGATGGCCTAAAGATTGAAAAAGCTTTAGTGGATTTGACAAGGAGACACCAATCAAAAAAAAAATAGGAAGATAGGTTTCTACTTGCCTGGAGAAATGAGATGAGGTGGCTTCTTTAAATCCCCATGAAAACGCTGGATCTCGATTCTCTCCATCAGTGGTTCCAACACACCGGTGACACAGCAAGCTTTGGTGAACAGTCTACAGCTGGTCCTCAGACTGTTTTGATCCATGAATTTGACTGCTCCTTTATACTGTGTGATTATGGTGGTGGCCGCTGAGAAGGCTCCAAGACTAGAGGTGGTTTGTCTGCCAGGCTTCGGGGAGCCACAGCCCCGTGTGCTTTTGAAGCACCTGGAACTGGATTTGTGCTTTTTAGTTAGACACTCATGCGAACCTTGCAGGTGAGAGCACTGAGGAGACTATTGACTGAAGTGCACCCAAGCAGGTATGAGTGGGGCCGAATGAGGGACAGGATCCACCACCTCACCACTACGGCCTTATTTTGAACAGTTCAACCGCCCATAAAGTAGCCTCTTTTTTAAATAAATAATGCTTTTAGCAAGAACCACCAGTGCCCCCTGACAAGCAAACAAACTTCAGCGTTCAGGGCCCCCACTTCCGGGGCGCTGAGCCCCTCGGCTTCTGCCCGGCGGGGCTTGCTCCTTTCACAGACCCCTCTCAGGGCATCGCTCCGATCGCATCCACCAACGCTTCGAAGCCTCCCGGAATCCCAGCGCAGCCCCGGCCTCCCTGCGCTGGATGGCCGAGGAGACCAGGGCGGGAAGGCGGCAGCTCCATCGCCGACCGAAGGCGTGCGGGTGCAAGGCCAAAGGAGGCGGGGCCGGGCGGGGCTTGCGCCGGGGCGGACAGGCGCGGCGCTGAGTCCCGTTAGAAGTAGCGCGGATCCCGCGGAGAGCCCCACCGGCGCAGGAGGAGCGACCTGCCGTGCCCAGTCCGCCGGGAAGATGCCGAAAACGGTGGGTGCCGCCGGCATAGAGCCGGGGTGCGGGGAGAGGGGGGGGCCCTACCGCTGCGGCCGCCTCCGAGCGGGGCTGGGCGGGTGTGGCGGCGCCCGGGCCTCGCGGCGGGAGAGAACGGAGACGTCCCGGCCGTGGGGGCTCTTCCCGGCCGTGGGGGCTCTTCCCGGCCGGGAGCAGTGGAGGGGCCTGGGAGGGAGAAAGCAGACGAGGAAGGCGGGAGTCCCGGGGAGCGCGGGTCGGGCGGGCAGCAGGGCGCGGAGCGGAGCCGCCCGTCCGTCCCTCCGTCCCTCCCTCCCTCCATCTTGTGCTGCGTGCCCCGCCGTGCACCCCCGCCTCACTTGTCCGGGGCGGTGGCCGGGCTGGGGCCCCGCCTGGGCCGCTGGTGGGTAACGGGGCAGCGCCCGCGGAGCCGCACCAACGGTGCCGGCAGTGTGCGCCCCGGGCCTGGGGAGCCGAGCGGGGTGAAGCTTACGAGAGCCTGCTGCGGAGTTCATTAACTCTATGGCCGCCTCTCCTGTGCTCTGTGCAGTGAAGTTGGGGTTTTCACAACTTGTAATTAGTCAGCTTGAGTTGCTAGGGAGCCTTGTCCCAGCTTGACTCGAAGTATTTCTTGGCTGGAGAGATCTCGGTGCTTCAGAAAGCCTGGTCAAGTCTGTACTTGACTCTCCTCCTCGCAGCAGGAGTTTGGTGACTAATGAGGAGCATGGGTTTTTTCCATTTAATTTCTCCCGGTTGGAGTAAAAGAATTGGTCCTGGCCCTTCATTGATAAAACAGGAAGGAGCAGGCTGGAACGCTCTGGATGTTTCCTCGCTGGGAGTGATCTGAAACGGCCTAGGAACACCAAATGTTTAAGCAAAGAGACTATGGTTTACGTAAAGGAGAGGAAAAAAAGCCCTAAACAAAACCCCATCCCTGTGCAAGTGGAAGTTGAAATGGAATCCACCCTTACTGTTTTTTTTTTTAACGCAGTTTAATTCTATTACTTTAGAATAGGTCCTGGATGCCTGTTTGACTGATTTCGGCTTCTCCTGTCTTAAATGCCAGCTTCCTGAGACAATAGCTGGCTTATTTGCTTTTTAAACATCAACATCTGAAAGGATATCAAACTCGAGCTGCTTAAAGTTTGAGACAGTATTTTCTGAAGCTTTAGAAAGGCCTTCAGACATCAGCAATGATTAGTGAAGATTTACTTCCTAAAAAAGCCACCCTCAGAAACCTTACAGGCATCAAGTTCGGCAAGATTAACAGAAGTAGCTCGGGTTAGGGGACTTCAGTGGAAAATGTAGTTGAGACTTTTTAGCCAGAGAGTTCACAGTTGTGATGAGTGACTTCTGGTGTGCCTCAGCCAAGAAATCCTGAATATGTTGCGGGGGCACTTACGAGGCAGGATTCCCTCTAACAGGCTGAATCCAAGTGTTACGACACTGCGCTGGCTGCAAGGTGCTCATTGCAGCCTCTGTGCCTGCAGGCACACCCAGGGCTGGATTTGCGCTCTCAGTCTGCTGCTTTCTGGTTCTGACAGAGCAGTTCTGCTTTCGGAGCTTCAGCAGATACAGAAATGAGAGTGCTTTGCTGTGACACTGCGTATTGCGCGCCGCAGAAAGCGGTTCAGATGTTTGTGCCTGTTGAGGTGCAGAGCTGCAGGCCTCCTGCTCTATCAGCCCTCGGTTTCCTGCCCCATCTGCCCTAGCTGCAGACTCAACTGAAATAGTATTTTAAACATTATTTCTTGAGCTGTGGTTTGCAGGAACAGGATGTGCTGGCATAACTGTGTAATCAGTTCTTCATGTGAAAGAAACGCAACTGCTGGTGTGCTAGCTTAAGATTTGCTAATAGCTACTCAATTAACAAAGTAGTAAAATGCAAGTGACTTTCTCCAAAGCAGGTCAAACGTGGGTGAAACTTGAGCAGTTAGATGTAGCTATATGTGAGCTTCATCACAAAAATAAATCCATTGTGAAGAAGACGGATGGAGGAAATGTTCCAGGGAACAGTTCTGGCTGGGCAGGAAAAACATTTGTGTCTAAAGTGTTTGGTAGCTCTTATCATTCATCTCACCAAGCTTACAGAACATGCTGCTGCGTGGTTTGAGCAGCAAAACCTGTTGAGTTCCGAGTACCCACTCCTTGTTAAGCTAGGCTAAATGTTAACACATCTAGCTAGAGATTGCCATTTTCTTACATGAGATTTGCTACAAGTGGCACTATGCTTTTGGTGCACTATTAATAGGAATCCAAGGTTAACTCTAGTAACCTTTGAACTAGTGGCACGTGATTTGCTGTTGTGAAGTGTAGTGTCTGCACAACTGGAGGGTTTGGTTGTTGGAGGCCTTATAGGTTATGTAGAAAGTCCATCATGGATCAGCCAGCTGATCCTGCCGTGCTCTCAACAGGAAAGCTTTACTGGTTTATCTAGAGTGATCTTATCGGTAAGCAACTAACTCCCAATTTATGATTTTTTTTTTTTTGTTCTGAAAAGCTTGCAAGAGTTGAGCAGTTCAAGAGCACACCAAAAAGGGCAAGTAATTCCCCCCACACTTTGTATTGTAGAGGGATGGAAGTAGCTGAGTGATAAAATGCCTCTTGGAAGCCATTGTTGAGCTCTGAAGTCTCTTTCCTAGTTGAGAAGTCTCATTATTGGCCATGAGTAGGCTCTGATCTCATGCTTACTGACTAGTGATCTAGTCTCTCATTGAGTCATTCCAGGCTGGCAGAGCTGAAAGTCAGCTTCTAAATCCCGATAGAAGTGAATGAGGTGTCATGTTGACGGTTAGTCCAGGCCCCCTAGTTAATCACTTGACCTTTAGTATTACAAAAACCATCTTAGTTGGAGGAGTGGGAGGGAAAGTGGCCTTTTTTTGTACCAGTCATACCCATTTAATGGGCTGATACTTTACTGTGTTTTTAGCTATTGGGAAAAGCAATGCCGTATCAGGTTTCATTAACTGTTTTGCCTATGAATGAACATACATTGTGACTATATGAATGGATAGGCCACTGAACTTGAATTGTGAGCATCTGTCGTGTAAATTCAACTATCTTGTCACTAGGACTTGAGCTGTTCTGGTTTAGGTAACGTACCCTTTACTTGTAGAGAAATGGGTTTAATCAGAGCTAATCTCATGAATACAGGAACCTTCAAACTAAGGTATAATAAAGTTTGGACTCCTCTTATTGTATTAGAATGAAGTGTTTCTCTTGATGTTCATAAGTCTCCAGGTTTCTAGGTCAAAGTGTTTCTGCATAGAAAATCCACTTGAACAAGCATGAAGTCTTCAGCACAAGAGAGTAGTAGGATTCATAGGTCTCAGGTCAATGATGCTATTTAAGATCTTTTTAACTCTTTCCTGCTGTTGCCTTTTCCTTTCGTATTTTCTAATGCTCAGTGTAGCAATAGTCGTAACGGCCTTCGGGGACCCTGTCTGTACCTTAAATTGGTGGTTGTATTAGACTCCAAAGGTCCTTGAAACATACCCCCTATGTTCTTTGGAACTGCGTGAATCTGGTTAGAAGAGATGGGTAAGTATCAGGAGAATCCTCTGGGTAATTAGTTTCCTGATGTGTAGCTACTTGTTACCATTTGCGCAACTAAGTAACAAAACAGAGCCTACACTTGTTTGTTTGGGTGATTGATTTATTTACTTTTGCTCGTGTAATTTGCTAGAGGTCTTAAACTGAGGGCAAAAGGTGGACAGATGGAAGCCATGACTTGGAGACTTTCTTGGATGTCCTGGGTTTGGATCCTGTTGCGCTATGAAGGACCCCTTGGAAGCATTTGAGATGCCTTCTCTCTTTTCCAAGGACAAACCCTTTGGTGTTGCATCTCTTCCTCCCTTGCTTATTGTAACTTGGGAAGCTTTGCAGCACTGATCAAAGTTAGGCTTTGGGGGACACGGGTGCTAGCTTCTTAGGCAAACTCAGTCCATTGTATCTTCTAATACTTCTGGATACACAGAGGCGTTGCAAAGCCCTGTATTTGAGAGCTCCCTATACAGTGTTGCTCCTGTTGGTGAATTTGCAATGTCTTTGTACTTCAGCAGCTTCAGTAGCTAGAAAGTGCTGAGTATACAGTAGAACCAGGTAAATTAGTGGACTGGTATTCAATGACTTATCTGTTGCTTTATACCTGCTATGGGACTTTACAAACCAGGAAAGACCTTTACACCCCAGCTTGTATTGTATTCATCAGTAGATAAAGCAGTTAAGCCTGATAATGAGCAAAAGCTTGGTTTGGTACTTCTGGGCCTTCTGTGTTTAAACGGGGAGTTTAAAGAATACCGTTGATAAACTAGTGTTTGCTTTGTTTTTACATACTGGTGTAATCCTGCTTCCCCTTCTTAACGCAAGCATTTCACCTAATGTCAGTATTGTGCAGAAAGCATCGCTTACAGTGGCTTCAGACTGGTGGTCAAGAGCTACTGTGAATGCCTGATTTGATTTGGTAGTCATAATCCTGTTTTTGAAACTGTAGTGTGACAGCGTTAGGCTTAGAATGCTTATCATATCAGAGGTTCTAGAAGATGAAATGGCTTAGTTGAGTCCTTTTGGTTTTGACCTCGATTTGCTGCTTGGGGCAGATGAGCAAGAAGGAGGTTGATGAGGTGCACACAATAAAAGGAGCCCAAAGAAAGCTTTAGATCGGCTTCTGCTACAAGAATCCTGTGGGGAAAAAAGTGCCTAATAGCAGGGATTGGTCATCACTCAATCCTTACAAGTATCCTGTCCCCTTAACACTTACTGGCAGTACTTT